AACAAATCTATATTGAAGTCACCACATATGAACATTAATTTATGACTTAGTGTCAGGTAATTTTCTTCCATCCACTCATTAAACTTTTCTATGCTGGCTCCAGGTGCTCTGTAGATACAGCTTATTACAACATTTTTCTTTTTTTCCAGTAGTAATTCAACCGTCACACACTCCAGCAAGTTGTCAATCGCCCTTGACATATTATCCAGTTTTTTATAACAAAGGTTATTATCTATGTACAAGGCCACTCCACCTCCCATCTTATTCTCTCTGTTTGTGCAGACCAAGTCATAACCAGGCAATTCAAGGTCGATTCCTCTTACATTATTAAACCATGTTTCTGAAAAAGCAATTATATTAAAAGAATGTGTCAGACTACTAAGATAATGTTTTATACTCTGAAAGTTTGCATATAAACTTCTGCTATTAAAATGAATTAATGATAAATTGTTTTCAGTCTTAACATTGCTGTGAAACTGCCCATCCATATAATACTTGCAGTTATTTTCAGAGTTCTCAAAAACGTTTATTTCTGGGCCAAAATCTTCGTCCGGTTCATGATAATGAGTTTCAGTATTTCCAAATGTGTTCAGCTCCAGATCCAATTCGTCGAAAACTATTAACTTGTGTGACAAATCACTTGCCTCATTCAATACATGGGTCATGCTTGGTGTTGTAGATTCAACACTCATACACCTGCGAGTTTCTTCATACTTCATATTTATCCCATGCAGCCAAGGGTCCAGGAGCCCCTCCTCCCACTCCTTGTCTCAGCATGCTGGTCTTCGGCGTGCTGGACTTGGGTCCTGGTCCCAGGTTCTGAGGACGGATCACGAGTCGGTCATATCTCAGAAACGCGACGTCTCCTCTCTCCCTGGCCTCCCTTAACTTAGGCATCAACTCCTTTCTTCTCTTCCTCACAGCCTCGGTGTAATCTTCATTTATATAAATGTTGGATCCTTTAAGCTTCTTTGCCTGCTGCAATATGTGTGTTTTGTCTTTCTCATTCCTCAACTTTACCATCACCGCCCTTGGACCACAATCGGTGTGTTTCCCGACTCTGTGAGCCCGCTCCATCACAATTTCATGCTGAATCTGCAGATTATTCTTGAGAATCTCCTTCACT